CATCAGGCCAAACCAAACTTCTTCTGATCTTTGTAAACAGGTAGTCTTTGTTGCAAAAGAGGGGTATTTCCATGCTGTAAACTGGATGTGAATATTGTATGATTGTTTTTAGAGACAGCCATTTCAACTTGCACTGAAATTTTTGCAGAAGATGCAAAATGCCCTTGTGTAACAACTCTTCTTTCTAATTGCAGACTGCAGGATTCTTAGGAACTGGAAATCCAACAGAGAAATCATTTGTGGTAAAATTCGGTGTTTAAGCTTATGGAGTTTTGAATCCGCCAAAAAAAAAAGAAAATAACTGAAAACAGTAACAAAGAACAGACTGTGTTTGATTACCAGGCTATAAACCTTGGCATGCAGCGCTTAAACATGGAGGAACAAATTTTCTAACAGGCTGGTGCTATTGTGTAAAGATGGATTTTAGCCAAAATTCCAGATTTGAAACCCCATGAACTTCAGTAGGCCCAGGCCAATCCTTGGCTTAGGTTCATCTCAAACATTGCAAGCAGGGAAAAGGTAAAACATTCACCGTAACAACTGAAGATCCAAAAGGGGATGCATAATCTGTTCACTATTTGCACACACAAGAGACGTATTGGTGCCAATATGAACATTTGTCCCCTTGATCATTATGAGAATGTTTTTAGAGCATCTTTGAAAGCACACTGCAGCATCAGGGAATGTTTCTGGCATGTATCCTCAGTACTTGGGTTGGCTACTAACTAACCTCTTCGGTGGGAAAAGCTTTATATGGCTTCTCTATTTTTACCCAAATAATTAATCTCATGCGCATTGTCCTCACCTCTGTGATCCCCTTGCCGACCCTTTCCTGAAATGACAGCTGATATCAGGTTCCTGAGTCATATGGTTGATTCCTGCTCAGAGGACAAGTGGTTTATTACAGGTTTAAGCAATACCCCCTTCTGAATGGGGACTGTAGCGGGTAGATTTCAGCAAATTATCAATTATACCCAGACCGCCGCAGAGATTTATGTGCTGGATTTAATAAGCATTGTGCTCATTTATGTGCTTTCTCTTTTGCAGCAGAGTGAACTCTGGTTTCCTCTGAGTTGTGCAGCTGCTATAAATGGTAATAAGACAGTCACAGTAGTACTGTGATGGAGACAGGCATCCTGTACTTGCTGTATCTGAGGGTTATGTCTGGAAGCCGGAGAGGGGAAAAGTTTAACATGAAAATGAGCTACATGCAATTACCAATTTATGGGGAAGCTCATAAAGGAACCAGCTGGTGGTGGCACCGCGTTGTTAAAACTGTTCTTCTGAAGAAACTAGAAGAAGAAATTAAAAAATGCACATATGCACTATTCAGTTAGCAGAAGTTGTCAGGGCATCCTAGAGTATTTCTTATTAATAATAATATAATCACCAACTTTTACATCAAAGGTACTTAGTGTGTGTTTCCTGTGGAGAAACCTAAATGAGCATTTATTACCAAGGCACCCGTCTAAAAGATGCAGGAACACATGGAGATATGAGTATTTTATGGTTCTGTGACAGAGCTATCATCAGAGCATGCCACCTCCTTGAACTGAGCTGTCTGTATGACTCCGAGTTGTGATTTATGCCAGTTTGCTTGGCTGCAGCATGGGACCTGCCAAGGTCCATCACATGAGCAGCTGTAGCAAACTGTAGATGATATTAAAGCAGGTAGAAGAGGATTTTGCAATTCCGTGCTGGCAGAAGTGGAGTGCTGTGGGTCCGTCCCCCTCTCAGTCAGATGTGGAGTGGCAAGGAGCCTGGGGAGAAACGGCTGTGAGTGTTGTCTTGAGAGCAGGTGACACTGTATTGTCGGAGTTGCGGGTTGTCATAGCAATAAGAAGTCATGACAAATGCTGTGGTACAACTCCAGCTTGTTCTGACTTCACTGTTTTTCACCTTTCCGCACTTCCTTAAAATTATCTGGTGAAAGCTAAATGCTGTAAGTCTAGGTCTAGAAATTAAGATTTTTTGAGGGCAGTTAGAAAGAAAATAAAAAGGGGTAACACTGTATCCAGATTGCCATCATTAAACAGGAGGGCTCTCCAAACAGCGAACGCTCTCAGTGGTCCGTATGCAATACTGTGGGCAGACACAGGGTGCGAGCACTTGGGATTATGATGCCGTTCCTTTTTCCAAAGCTAGCCTTTACCTGTGCTGCATGGCCGCACTGGTTGCATACAGATCTCAGCCGGTTGTTTCCCAGTTTAGTCTCTCAGACATGCTCTACACACGTGGCAACACCATTATTAACTTAAAAGCTCCAACAGAGATACGAGCCCTGGTAAGCTGTTTCTTAGGAGATCCCTCTTATCCCAGAGAGTGCACTGACAGGCTTGAGTCAGATTGAAAGCTTTGTCCTTAGTCTGTTAAACTATAATTCTTCTTCGGTTAATATAATTTGATCATAAGCTTCTAATAATATGAGACACAAACTGCTTGTTCTTTATCAAAATCTGCACTCTATTGTTAGAGCTCTACAAGATCAACACATGCACAACAGATTATTGAAACAAGCTGCTGAGAGAGTTTTGTCATAATATCTATGTACCACATATTTTTCTGACTCATACCCCCACATATCCCCTGCAGTGATTTTGTAAGTCAGGGCAGAATTTAGACTACTGTTTGTTATCTGGTACATATTTCTAAGGCATTGCCAAATAAAAAGCTAAATTTAAAAACTATGACTTTTGTTGTCGGGGGTTCCAGACATGCCAAAGGAACATGTGTCAGCAATTTTAGGCTTAGCGGCCACGTAATTGTAAAGTGTACTTATTTTTATAGATGCTCTTGGATGATAAAAACTGAGACATTTTAATTAGCTGTTTGAGTTACATTTGCTGTCACTGCTTGTTGATTATTAATATCACTTCAAGAATTTGTGTTGGAATGGGAAAAAAAAAGTGCACAGAAACTCTTCTTTTTTTTTATGTGTATAACAAAGTTATTGTGTGCAAAGGGAAAAATGCTGTTAATGGTTTTATTTGGCCTATATGCTCGTATGGGCAGCCATTGGGCCCTGCACATATATTCTGTGTTTATTTGCTTCGTCATGTATTGCCTTCATTTGTGAGTCAGTTCGCCTCCTGCCTAATATTTTATTTCTCTAAGTTGTGTCATTATTTGAGGGGATAGTGAAATAGACTGTGGCTTTGGATATAGAAAATCAGACAGAGAGACTGACTCTCTGATGCAGGGAAGGGAAGTGTGTTCGAACCTTAGATCCATCCTACATCACAGAGTGAGCATAACTGAGCTGGGAAATACGATGGTATGATTTTTCCCAGCTCACACTTGAATCATACATTATATTCATATATAGCCCAGTGCTCTGAATTGAAGCATCTTTAGGAATTGCTCCCAGGCTCGCTAACTTCTTAACCATCTGAGACATACCTTGGAGATACACCAAATGACACAGTTTGACCTTCTGTCGACAAGGATGGCTTTCCTCCAGAAGTAATTACCTTTAGTATACCTTAAGAATAAAATGCTACTGCCTAGTTCCTTATCTAAAATACTGATCTTTAAACTGTTTTGTAGTGATTTTATTGCCATTCTTGGATGGAGGTAAATATTTTCAGTTAAAGTAATTGTGAAGTTAATGTTTGGCAATAGGATTATTTCAGAACTTAATTTTTGGACAGAGACTTTTGAGGAATCTGATGAGGGAGACTGAATGTATTCTGCATGATTTCTTCAATTTAGCACAGTCAGAGTATGGTATCTTACACTGCTGTAAACTTGGCTAGTTATATCATGGCAAAGGCTTAGACTTGTATGGTTTCAGTTATTGGAAGATACTGTACCTACCTTAAACACATAGAGGTTTGCTCATGGCCGTGTGTCATCAGCACTGGTAGCTGTCATTTAATTGTCTAGCGGCTGTTCCACTGCGTTCCTCTTGCCCACTGTCACTTTTGCAGCTGTATCCAGCCCTGAAGCATTGTGCTTCTGGGCCAATGATTCATGTTACCGATATGTGAAATTTTGTAGTCATCTGTTAGCAATTGAGCTGTAGATGCAAAAGTCCATTCTCTTAGTTCTTTGGTGATAAACAATAGAATTCTAGGTGATACCCTGTACCCTGCCATCACTGATCTGAGCCTATCCGTAGTAATCACTGCCTTCTGTTTTCTCTCAGGAGAATGGAAAAATGAATCTGTTACAGCCTTGCTACTTCTGTTTTTTTAATAAAGACCTCCCCCAACTTACTGTAGGAGCATCAGCTCAGCATTCCCTCTCTCCTGTCCTCTCTTGAGGTGGCTTGGTGCGGTCATCCCTTTTCAGTGCTGAGTCTGTGGGGTGAGATACTGAGGTTTATAGTCAGCTTATGCTGATCAACAGGGTCCAGCCGTGGACCTTGCATAGACTCATGTTGCTGTGTGGTGAGTCAGATCATCTCACTGATCCAGCTGAAAATCAACTTCAAAACCTGACATGTCAGTGTATTTTTAATCAACTCTGAAAGGGCCCCACCACAAGTGCTGCTGTCACATATCCTGTATCTCATCATCAAGGAGAAAGCTTGGTCTTACGTATTCCATGCTGTCAGTGCAGCCCTGAATACATGAGGTGGTGTTATGGTGAGTGCGTTCTGGGTAGACACGAGAGCACAGGGAAAGAGGAGCAGCTGTCAGGGAAATGATGCATGTTGCTTTATCTGCAGTCCTGATCAAGAGTGGAGCGAGTAGATCAAGTTAAAAAGTTATGCTTGCTGTCCTTGTCTTCTCTGCCTCCAGACATTTGACCCTGCCTTGCAAATTGGTCTTGGGCCAACCGAGAAAAGAGCCATTACTGTTGTGACTCAGTCAGCTTCACTGACATCATTAGTTAAGCCAGCACATAACTGATGTGAGACCAGGATCAAGATTTTTTGTTGGTATTTTTTCCCCTAACCGGGCTAACGGCATTTAGAACTTACTGTCATCTTAGTTTGTAGTAAATGGCATTAAATTTATGTACTGAAAATCAGTTGCTTTTCCTGGCTTTTCTAGGACGAATCCTCGACTTGAAGACTGGAACAGTAAAGAAAGAGGGTCAGCAGTCCTCCATGAGAATGTGCATGGGATCAAGACGCTCTTTCATTTGCAGGATGAGGTACACATTTTCCTGATATTCCTGTAATGGTTCCAGTCCCATCTCAGATTAGACTTCAGACATTTTGTTGCACTAATTTGACCTTGCTTAAAAAACAAAGCTGTAATGGGACGTTCCCATTAAGCATTTCCAGAATGCTTGCTTTTGAAACTGGAGTAAAACCAAACCCTGTCTGTCTTTATGATTAGTGACAAAGCAGCACCTCATTTGTGTGTTGCAGTTATTTTTATCAGTGTGGGGTGTCGGAGCTTTCCCCAGAGAACTTCATGACAGCTTCACCCCTGGAATGTAAGCCATTGTCTCTTTTAGTCAAATTACTTGAATCAATACTCTGGGAACAAAGCTTTCACAAGTGTAATGAAAGCCCAACTCTGTGTATTTTTTCAGCAAACCAATAATATTAAAAGAATCTTGAAGACAAACACGAATTCAGTTGCAAACTTGCCAGCTATGTAGGAATTAACCCAAGCCTGGTATGAATTAACCAAATGTCAGCTGGTTGATGCTAGATAAGTGAGTAATTGTTAGAGGGTTTTTATTTTGCAATTTTCCGACTTCTCCTGCATTGCTTGGGCTTCTTTAAAGAGATCTGCCTGCCTGGTGCTTCTGACTGGGACTTGTGGGCACTTCTGTTGTTGTAGTGCTAACAGGGTAAAATGCCTGTTGCTATTGCAATAAATTTCTCTCTGTGTGGTTAGGGGGGAAAGTACATAATTGCATCTGCAGCTTATATCCAATATACGTGTTGAAAACAGATGATGCAAAATTTGTTATGGAATGAAACACACAAAACAAAATATTTGGTATATTAAAATAGATCCCTGTACCATTTATGTGGTGAAATTCTTCCAGTCATGTGAGGAAGCTGAATGTATGGCGCTCGGGCTCCTTTTCTCCCCTTAACTGGTGAGGAAAGAAATACAGCCTGGCAGAGAGACAGTTGGAACATTTCTTTCTCTTCCTCCAAGCTGCACATAGTGCTTGTGTGAGGAAGGTATTTTTGTGCAAAGAAAACTAGGCCTAATGTCCTGTTTACAGTTGTTCCCCAGCTTTCAAAACAACGTTTCAAACTGCAGTTATTTCCTAGCACCCTGATTCTGTAAACTCCAGTGCATGAGAGTAATTTTATAAATGCCAGTAGCCCCATTGTTTTTTGTAATTCTAAATCTCATTTTAATGGTTCATTCCTTCTCCTTGGCAGTGACTAGTATAAAAAAAAAGAATAATAATAATTAAAAAAAACTTGTGGGAAGAATGAGCCTCAAATAATGTGAACTTCCCTTGTGTTTACTTCTTGCATTGTTATTGTTCTTTTTTCCATTGAAAATGAACTGGTTTTACCCTTCTAACTATTTACTTAGCTTCAAATGGATTGTTAAAATTATAGTTAGGCACAGTTAGAAATATCACAAAAAATACATGAACAAGTGTTAAACAAAGTTATTTGACAGTGTAAATAGTCTGTTCTTGCAAACATTAAATTAATGTCTACTAACATTGTAGCTGGTATATGGCAGTCAAAATGGTCTATCCAGGGAAGCTACTGGAACACCGAGATTGTTTTGCATGGATATTTGGGGACCTGACTTAGATTCTTCTCCAGTATTCATCCTTGTTTTATAGTATTTTGAAGTGTTACTATTCTTTAGTCACTCTTGGAATATCTATTTCAAATAGTCTTTAGGTTTGGAGGGGCGAGAGGGAATCTCTTTGTAGTCGCTTCTATTTTTCTTTATAAAATAAAGAAAATTTTTGTAGCACACCCAAAAAGCTCAGCCTGTGGAAGCAGCAAGTTCTAAGAAAACATGAATGTGCAACTGTCAGAAATAAATATCCATTATTGTCTGCTTATATATAGTAATAAAGATCTTAAAATGTGTTTTCATCTTGGGTATTTATATTAATTTTTAAGCCCTTTCAAATATTAATTTACTTTTAGGTGTGGAAATGCTCCTCTGGATCATTTACCTCTGAACAGAATAACCACCATGAGAAAAAGATACAGGTACTATTACTTAAAGTTGCCATAAGCACTCTCATTTTCCACTGGGCTAATGCTCAATCAAGGAGTACTACCTGAGTTGTACTACTACTGGTACTAGTACATCCTAGTATAGCAGGACAAATATCTACATTAGCACATAGCGTAAAATTGCACTGGGTCTCAGGAGAGGAGAACTCTCCACTGAATTCAACTGTGGCAGAGTCACTGGATCTTTTTGCAAGCCGTGCGCAAGTCACTCAGCTTGTTTGTCTTAACCAGCTCCATCTCTGAAATAAGCTTCAAGATCTTTCTCCAAGAAGTATTATGGAAAACAAATAAGGCTTGAATAGCTTTGTAATGGAGCTGACATTGTACAGAACTCTTAAGTTGATGGTTGTTTCTAGCTTACAAATATCAGTAAATCAGTAGTAGTAGTTTAAAAACAGAAAGCTATTCTGCACGTAAGTCAACATATTTTTGTGTTTCCTTTTCATTTAGGAATGGCCTTGGCCCAGTAAAAGAAGGCGAAGCACAGTATGCTGTTGTCCATTGCACTGGCTATATCAAGGCTTGGCCACCAGCAGGTGTGTATCTGTCTCATTGAACTATCCGCAAGACAGTTGAAAACCTGGCTTGGGATCCCTTTGCTGGTACAAAACCAGGCTGAATTTCAGTGGGGTAACCCATTCAGTCTCATCTTGAGAAGCTTTTGATATCAACAAATTAGCTGCTGTTACTCACTCGGGGACTCCCCATTTTTCCATGTGAAACCCTTCTCAATTTTGTTGGCACAGAGAGCTGTAGAAGCTGTCAGTAATGTGGGATTATAGCAGCTGGGGCCAAAAGTTTTCAATCTGGTAAACCAACATTAAAATGGCCTGATTTTCAGAAGGTAAACAGAAAACATTTTTACCTCTAGAAAACACCAACTAGTGCTTTTATGTTTAAGTACTGAGTTGCAAGCACCTGTGTATGAAAATGTGTAATGTCAGTTTAGACGCATAGGTCTTCACAGTGGTGGTGTTAGCGGAGAATGTTCAGTGTTTGCGATAAGTTCTGTTCTGAGACTGTTTTTTTGGGAAACGAGACTTGGCATATTGCTTTGAACTACAGAGAAAAACATTTACCTGCTGTAACTCAGTATCACATGTGGGAATATTTACCTTTGGAAAAATTCAAAGAGGAGACAGTGGAGCTCATCCAGACATCATCATGAGCTGGGTTAGCTGACCTTGGCGTTTGCAGTAGTTGAAGAGGCTGTTTGCAATATGACAACGCCTGCTGGCATGAATCAAACCGTGAGTTGTCTTGCCCTTTTGCAGTCATATACCACAAGCATAAATCACATTTATCCAGGGATTCTGAATGCTAAAAGGTGGTTTGCACCAAGTCTGCGCAGTGGTGTGCAGACATCAGCACGCGATGGGAACTTCTCGTTGATCTCCTGCTG